CCAGAAAGAGAAGAAAAACTGTTACTTAAGTTTAATGTCAAAAATTGGTATAAAAAGCCAAGATATATTAATAAGGTAACCCAGCAAGCGAAAGCATCTGGTTTTTCTCAGGCTATGATTCTGACGTGTAATGTTGAGAAATTTTACTAAATAAAATTTGGCAGCTAGTCGAATAAAAAACATATGTTTTTGTTTTGATATGTCACCTTATTATTGCATCAAGCTTGATGCCAATATTGACAATTCACATTGATTAGTTTAAACAAATATAAAGCTAGGTTTACATCCAACATACTTAATTAAGATGATTTTTAAATAAAATATTAACACATATGTTTTAGTGATCAACACATTTTTAATTTGTTATTTCAATAAAGTTTAAGTATATAAAACATAATTACTTCAATTATCATTTTTCTCTCTCCCTTTCTCTCCAGAATCCCTTGCGCATTGCCATCATTGGCCAAAGTAATTTTGCTGCCGATGTTTTGGAACTTCTCCTTGAGAAAAACTACAACATCGTTGGTGTTTTTACAATCCCAAACAAAGGCTCGCGTGAAGATATTTTAGCAACCACTGCCAGTCGTCACAATATTCCCGTTTTTAAATTCGCATCATGGCGTCGCAAAGGTGTTGCCATACCCGAAGTACTCGAGCAATATAAATCGGTACAGGCCACCTTAAATGTCCTACCCTATTGTTCACAATTTATACCAATGGAAGTGATCGAAGGCGCTGAATTAGGTAGTATTTGTTATCATCCATCGATATTGCCAAGACATCGTGGTGCCAGTGCTATATCATGGACATTGATCGAAGGTGATGATGTGGCAGGATTTTCTATCTTTTGGGCTGATGATGGTTTAGATACAGGACCAATTTTGTTGCAAAAACAGGTGCAGGTTGAACCCAGTGATACTTTGGATACGCTGTATAAACGATTTTTATATCCTGAGGGTGTGAAGTCAATGGCAGAGGCAGTGGATATGGTAGCTGCGGGTAAGGCACCTAAAATTACCCAGACCGAAGTGGGTGCCACATATGATCCGGCCATGTTTAAGGAGGATAATCAATATTTGAATTTGAATCAATCGGCAGAGGGTATATGGAATTTTATAAGAGGTCTTGACTCGGTGCCGGGAGCTTTGGTGACGGTCGTTGATAAGGATCAGGGTGTGGAGGAAAATATACGTTTATATGGTGCTCATTTGTATCAGGATAAAGCAATTGGCCAGTCAAGGGAGCTATATTTGAAAGGTCTCAAGTATCCGGCCTTTGTCCATGACAAGGGATTACTTATCCAGGGTTTGGATGGCCGATATGTCAATGTTCGTCGCTTGAAGCGGGGCTCGAAAATGATTAATGCATGTGATTGGTTTAATGTGTCCCAAGGGATGCAAGTTACCAATTTCTCAGAAGATGAACTGAACAAAAAAGAAGTTTTAAATAAAATTTGGTTTTCGATTTTAAAATGCCCCATTGAGGGCGACACTGACTTCTTTGCTGCCGGTGCAGGTTCCATGGATGTGGTTCGGCTGGTTGAGGAATGTAAGGAGGCCTTTGATGTACCGCTGGAAAATGAAAATGTGTTCATGGCTCCCGTTTTCGATGAATTTTTTGGAGAAATTGTGAAATGTTTGAGAGATGGTTCTTCGTCCGGCGGTGCCAAGGTCCACTTCGATGGCTTTGTAATGAAAGCCAATAAAAAAGAGATTTCCATACCCACTCAATTGTTCATTAATGGAGAATTTGTGGACGCCGAACAGAGACGTACCTTGGATATTATAAATCCCACAAATGAGGAGCTTTTGTGTCGGGTGGCCTGTGCATCCCGCAATGATGTAGATAAGGCTGCCACCGCTGCCCACAAAGCCTTCTATGGGGCGTGGCGTCAAATTTCGGCAAGGCAAAGAGGACAACTTATGTTGAAATTAGCGGATCTAATGGAGCAACATAAAGAAGAATTGGCTACCATTGAGTCGGTGGACTCGGGCGCCGTATATACCCTGGCCCTTAAGACCCATATTGGTATGTCCATTGATGCTTGGCGTTATTTTGCCGGTTGGTGTGATAAAATACAAGGCAATACCATACCTGTGAATCCTGCCCGGCCCAATAATGTTTTGACTTTTACCAAAAAGGAACCATTAGGGTGAGTAAAAGAATTCCGATAATTTCCCGAAGCGGAGAATAATTCGATATTGTTTTTATTTGTTCCGTTTAGTGTTGTGGGCCTCATCACACCCTGGAATTATCCTCTCATGATGTTGTCCTGGAAAATGGCAGCCTGTATTGCCGCCGGTAACACCTGTCTTATAAAACCTGCCCAAACTTGTCCACTGACGGCATTGAAATTTGCCGAACTTACCGTCAAGGCTGGATTTCCTCCTGGAGTAATTAATGTGGTCACCGGCAAGGGTTCGGAAGCGGGTCAGGCCATTTTGGATCATCCTCTAATTAGGAAATTAGGCTTCACTGGTTCCACGGAAATTGGTAAAACCGTGATGCAAGCCTGTGCCAAGTCCAACCTCAAGAAATGTTCCCTGGAACTGGGTGGTAAATCGCCATTGGTTATATTTGCGGACTGTGATTTCGAAAAGGCCGTGAAATATGTAAGTTATGATCAAGTATGCTTACAAAACAAACGTCTACAATAACTTTCCCTTTTCCTTTTCACAGGGCATGTCCTCGGTGTTCTTTAACAAGGGTGAAAATTGCATAGCTGCCGGACGCCTCTTCGTTGAGGATCGCATACACGACGAATTTGTCCGCCGCGTGGTAAAAGATCTTCGTTCCATGGTCATTGGCGATCCTTTGAATCGTTCCACAGCCCATGGACCACAAAATCATCGGGCCCATTTTGAAAAACTTATTGAGTTTTGTGAACGTGGTGTTCAGGAAGGTGCCACCTTGGTATACGGTGGCAAACCGGTACCCAATACGAAAGGATACTTTTTCCAACCCACCGTCTTCACCGATGTTGAGGATCACATGTTCATTGCCCAAGAGGAATCGTTTGGTCCCATAATGATCATATCGAAATTCCATGGCAGTGATATTGAAACGGTTATGCGTCGTGCAAATCGTTCGGAATACGGTTTGGCCAGTGGGGTATTTACCAAGGATATTGGCAAGGCTCTGGCCTTCGCCGATAACATTGAAGCCGGTACAGTGTTCGTAAATGTTTACAATAAGACTGATGTAGCAGCACCATTTGGTGGTTTTAAACAGAGCGGTTTTGGCAAGGATCTTGGCCAAGAAGCTTTAAATGAATATCTGAAGACTAAATGTGTTACTATTGAATATTAGCTTAAGATCGAAATGTTAGGCTAAGTATTATTCTGAATGTGTATTTATACAAAAATTAGTTTTAAATTTTATTAATAAAATACTCATAATTTTGTATTTAAGATGTGTGTGCGTGTGTCATTTGAGAGGTTCCCAAAATCTATGAAATAAATCTGTTAATTACAGTCAATGTGAGGATACGTCAAAACGAAGAGCGCTGAATACTTTGCCAGACTACAAATCGATGGGCTCCGGGTTAAAATGATCCGAAACCTCTTTCATCAACCTAATTTCAACCCTCGGCATCAACACATGAGGATAACACAAAATAGGAATGGCGGGAGATACCGCCACCCAGAGGGAAATTACAATACTAAATAAGCATGGACACCAACCACTGCAAGCATACAACGAAGCGTTGTTTCCAAGCAACGATAGATGGTAGTCCCATCAAGTGGGACAGGCTACAGCAGATCAATTATCTACAAAGGTGGAATAAAAATACAACGATTAATGAAACTAACATAAGGACGGAATAATCGAGTAAGAAAGCCATACTTTGGGGAAATCCTATGTTCCCAAGACAACATTTTTCGAATTGGCGAAACATTTGAACTCAAAAAGTTTCCGTTACGAAGAAAATTGGGTCTTATTTCAACGTTGAACATGAGACATGCTTCCTCAACACATACCCTTGGTCCGGTTAGAGTCACATGCACACTTTTTGTACCTCTACGACAGGAATAAAATGTCCTGTTTTGCACGGCACTCTGTATAATATCGACCCGAGCGGCAAACCTTGGGACACACCAGTACGACTCAAGATTCATTCCTTAACATTGATCGAAAACGATATATCGCCCATTTGCTGCAAGATCGGCATAAATTAAAAATCGTAATTTTGGAGTTAATGATGCAGAACTGTTTCGGCATATCAGACTTTATGTTATGTAAAACCAAATCTGACGTATATCTTTTACACACTCTGATTGAGATGCTTTAGAGATTCCTCAGTTCATTGTAAGGTGTGCGTCAAATGAAAATTTAAAATGCATTTTCTGCAAAATCGATTTTTATATCCTTCACCTTCACACTGTGGTACAGGGTATTATGTCTAAGTGCATATGTTTGTAATAGGCAAAAGCCTAAACCCATGGTTACTTATGCAGAGAATCACTTTTTGTCGATATATACATGTCCGTTCATCTATCTGTCTAAGGAAGAACACTATTGAAATTGTGAAAATCGGTTCAGATTTAGATATAGCTCCAATATATAGTCAAATCCGATTTTAAGAAAATCATACACCATAGACCTAACGTTAGGTCTATTGTCAAAAACATTGCACAACGTACTGAAGTTCGTATAGTCTAACGTATGTCTAGTTTTGTTGAAATCGGTTCACATTTAGATATAGCTCCCAAATATAATTTCGTCCGATTTTAGGTAAATGGTGTACCAAAGACCCAAAGTTAGGCCCATTGCCAAAAAATTGCACAACGCTCTGCAGTTACTATAACCTAACGAGTGGGAAGTTTCGTTGAAATCGTTTCAGATTTAGATCTAACTCCCATATATAGTTTCATCCGATTTTAAGTAAATCGTGCACCAAGTACCCAAAATATGGCACAAAACGTACTGATGTCAGTATAACCTAATTCAGATTTGGATATAGCTTTCATATATATTGTCGTCCGATTTTAAGTAATGGTACACCAAACTCCTCATGTTCGTCAGATTGGCATGAACTTGTGCACAACGTGCAACATTGATCATAGAATTACGTAACTGCGTTTTGTAGAAATGCAGACTAGCTCATATTAATTTTCGACCGACTATGTGTTATTTGGGCTCCAAAATATTACCGGATGTCCTATTGATATTTGCTTTAAATCGTTTTACATAATTTTATCCCATTGTAACAAACGACTCGAATTCTACTTTTCGTACTCATAAGTACGAATTTCCAAAACTACCTCAGCAGGATGCTTTCAAATAGTAATAGTAAGTATAAATTTAAGCATTTCAGATCTATCTGTTTTCCAAAATCCAAATCGTTCCAGATTTGGTATCATTCTGTAGTATTCGCACCATATATTACAAACCTATCTCAATGCTACACTCCAACAGTAATCTTAGTGGCAACTTTCAGGATTCCAGTTCTACACGTTCACCAAATCCAAATTGTACCAAATTTAGCAGCATATAAATTTCACGATTTCAGCCCTGTCCGTTAACACAGAACGAATTGTAAAATATTTTGTACCATTTAGTACTCTTTGGTCCCATAAGTACGTATTTCACTACCTCAATCCTACACTGCAACAGTAATTTTAATTCCAAAATTCTTGAGTCCTGCTCTAACCTTCCCACATAATTAACTTGTACCAAACACAGTAGCATTTAAGCACCATACTTCCAAATTTTCAACAGCAACCATTCCAGCTCTTCACACAAATTTAACTTGTACTATATTTAGTATCATGTAGTACTTTTCCTACACATAAGTACGATTTATATAGCCTACCTCAACCATGTACTCCAATAGAAATCCTAATTCTTACTTACAGGATTGCATCTCTATACGCTCAACTAAATGCTAATTGTACCAAATTTAGTACTTTTCATACACATACGTACGAAACCATTTTCATACACCAACACCTTTACCCAACCTTTATTCCATATAACATTTCAAGATTCTAGCTATATGTTCCGAATATATAAAACTAGCAGACCCGGCAAACGTTGTTTTGCCTTATTAGAATTGCATCAATATGGGGTTGGTCAAAATTAACGAATTCATGGAAAATATATTTCAGACCCTATTTACCAAAATTGTACGTCAAATTTCCACAATCAAAACATATTATGCATATTTTTTTCCTCATGACGGTAAACCTTCATTTACTGATACTCCAGTAAAATAAGTAATATTGTTATTGTTAAATATTAATATTAAATTATGTCAGTATATGTGGTATTTCAGTTTATCAATTGATCGAATTTATTCCACCAAACATTTTTAAGTAGAAGGTTAAGTTTTGATCCAACTACTCTTATCTCAAAAGATAATTACTATTCCTATTTTGATCACATACGATTAATAAATCCTATAAAAGTTGTGTGTTCAATTACTCCAATCTCCGACTTTTTATGTTTTTCTCAAATTTTTCTTTGGTAAAACTCTTCCCAGTGCAATTAAAAACAATCGAAGAACAATCACATCATGAATAATATATTTGAGGAACCATAAAGGCACATATAAGATAGACACCTAGAGCATCTAATGCGCAGTTGTCTCGATGTAGGATTCATATGCATATATATATATACTTCCTGAATATAATAAATTGACAAAAATACCTACCATAGCTAGCTAAATTGTTGTGGTATTTGTAATATACATTTTGGTATATCCTATGTATATGTATTGACATTTTTCACAAATAAGGCCGGTTTTATTTCCTATTTAGAATACGTTCAAGTTTCAGCCAATGATTCATTTTATTCGGTATTTCATGTAGGATAAGGAATTTCTCTGTAAATTGTCGGTATAGTATCACTTTATGGTATTTCCCACATATCGGTCCAGCCGTTACTTAAAAATATTTTTTGCAAGATTTTCGCCGATTTTTCTCAAAATGTTCTTGCATAAAAGCCTTCCCTCTTCAATTACAGGCAAGTGAAAGACATTTTGAGTCAAATCGGTGCCGGCGTTCTCAATTGATGAGTTACTATACATTTTTAAATCATTTTTATAAATAGATTTAAATTAATTTTACTTCAATTTGATAAGTTATTCTTTTTTCGTTTGACTCCCACGCGTATTTTACGAAAACAGGTTATGTATGACTCGGCGTCGGAATACTTAGCGTCGGCACACGCCGATTAAGCACCCAATCTCTAATCGGGCAAAACACAAAGAAGCTATATATCGCGCCATCTGTCGGACGAACTTAAAATTAAACACAAAAACACTACTCACGCCCCATAGGACATATACGTAAAGTTTGGTCAAAATCGATGCATTAGTTATAGTGAAAAACCACAAAAAAAACTAAATATTGCGCCATCTGTCGGATGAATTTCAAACTACACAGAAACACTCCTCACGTCCCATAGAGAACATACAATTTGGTCCAAATCGGTGCAGTAGTTTTTGAGTTTATCGATCACGAATATACACGTAATTTTATATATATATATATAGATAGAGATTAGAACTTAATTTTGTAAAGTTTAGTACTTTTCATACACTTAGAATTTTCAAAAACCCCTTTGTACATCTTTCAAAGGGTAACATATTTCGTACCCTTCTAGTTCGAATTTCCAAAAACCCAGCCTTATCTCACGCCTATGCACAAACTAATGTGTGGGTTAAATTTCAAGCTTCAACTCGTTTGTCCTCTTTTTTAATTTTAAGAAGATTACAATGTAGCCGGTAATTACACCTTTTACTAATTCGGTAGTCCGGTCAATGGGTTTTCGTGTTCCCTTCGAGGTCGCCTCCGAGCGAAAAAAGAAACAGGTAAAATTGAAAATAGACCAATAGAAAAAATTTGCGAGAATGAAAAATCGCATCTTGTGATAATTGCAGTCCGGTTCAAAAAATTAAGGACGAAAAGGACATACAAGGAATCGAGTTAGAAGAACGAAATGTTCTATTCCTTTAAGAATAATAGGGTCGTCAGCAAAAAATGATCACTCCACATCTCCTAACTTTGACATATGGCGAATTTTTATTCCCTTCACCACACTGTGGTACAGGGTATTATGTCTTTGTGCATATGTTTGTAACAGGCAAAAGGAAACGAGAATATGCATAGAATCACTTTTTGAGTCGATTTATGCATGTCCGTCCGTCCGTCTGTCCATGATAAATTGTAAACAAAGTACATATCGCATTTATCATCCGAAATGGATAAATGCGTTCGTCCGTGGGCCAAACAGCTCATTTGTTTTGCCCAAGGACGAACGCTATTGAAATTGCATATAAAGTCCCAAAATATGGCCGATTGTCACAAAATTTT